GATCGGGGATGGGGGGGATGGATGGAGGGGATCGGGGATAGGGGGGATGGATGGAGGGGAACAGGGATGCAGTGGCATCGCTCCCTCACAAGAGCCCTTCCATGCCCTGGGAGGATGTCCAAGCAGAGTGGGGCTCATGCTGGAAGGAGGAGGATGGTATCCTTCCCTCTTCATCGCCTCTGGTCTGATGGCCACGGGGCTGTAAGGATGATGGGTCCCCCAGTTATAAGGGTAATGGGAGCCAAGAGGGGGCGGAAGGCAGGGTGGGCCGATGCCGGGCTGTCGTCCTGCTGGTAACGGTCCTGTCTCTGTTTCCCTTTCAGTTGAAGCCCATTTCAAACATAAACCTTAGCTGGGACTGGCTGGGCAGACCTGAGGAGTGAGCTTCTGTTTACAACACAACGTGGTTTTATTTGAAATGTTAAAAATAATGAATAATGATAATAATAACAGTAATAATAATAATACTACTTCCCTTTCCCCTCATCATTCACTTGATCATGTCGGAAAACGAGAAGGGCGGCAGCGAAATGTCGGAGAAGATGCTGGTCCAACCCGAAATTCTGCTCCGTGGCTGTTCGGCAGGTTGTGCCACTGGGATGGGTGGTCCCCGCGCCCCCGTCACCTGCTGGAAGGGGTGTCCCACCGGCTTTGGCGGGACGGGGAGGACTGTTGGTGGCACATCTCGGGGGGAGATGGGGCTTTTCCCCAGGAGCTGCTGGGTGGGGAGCGTGGCGGAGCACCCCCGCAGCCCCGGCCCTCCGGCAGCCCTTTCCCCGGGGACCCGGGTGGCCCTGAGCAGTGATGTCCTCGTGGGACGGGAAGCACCAGCCTGGGGACACCTGAAATGGTGACGTGCGGAATGGCCCCACCGGGGGAGCGGTGGTGATGCTCTACCCGGGCTGGGGTCAAAAGGGATAGAGGAATGGAAGAAATTGGCCTCATTACCCACTTAACGAAGGGGTACCTTTGTTAACCCCGGGCCCTGCGAAGGGAAGGGGGACACGGAGCCATGTGGCGATGGCGGCGGAGCAAAGGGTGTGGGGTGGGGACCCCGCTCCGCTCCCCGCGGCGTTCCTCTTTCGTGGTCGGGGGCTTCACCCTATTTCGGGACCCCGGTGGGGGGGCTGAGCTTTAGGGGCAGTTGTGCTGACAGGCACCACAACAGCCCGGCCCCCCCCGGCCGACGGCACGGTCTTACCCAAAAATGAAATTTCCGGCCTCGGCTGAAGTACCGGCCCCGGCCCCGTCCGACACGGTTCTTACGTTGGTGTGTGTAACCGAGAGCATCCCATCGGCTGTACGCGTTCCTCCTGTCACTGGTGAGACCACTGTGGTACTAAATGTCGTTCGAACCAATAAATTATGATGTCCGAGCCGTGGCCGTGTGGTGCTGGGGCTGGGGAGGGACGGGGGGGGACAGGGGGTCAAACACCACCTGCAGCCGTGTAGGTGGACACCCACACAACCATCTGCCCCCGGCAGAGAGAGAGAGAGAGAGTGTGTGTGTGTGTGTGTGTGTGTGTGTGTGTGTGTGTGTGTGTGTGTGTGTGTGTGTGTGTGTGTGTGTGTGTGTGTGTGTGTGTGTGTGTGTGTGTGTGTGTGTGTGTGTGTGTGTGTGTGTGTGTGTGTGTGTGTGTGTGTGTGTGTGTGTGTGTGTGTGTGTGTGTGTGTGTGTGTGTGTGTGTGTGTGTGTGTGTGTGTGTGTGTGTGTGTGTGTGTGTGTGTGTGCGCCTTTGTGCGTGTACCAGATAGATCGATTTCATATAAACCACACACACCTATTTATGTATATTATATAACATAATATATAAAATATTGATTTGTGTCTCTGTGTGTATTATATAGTGTACGTTGGATCTGTTTTATAGTGTACGTTGGATCTGTTTTATATAGAGTTCTCATATTTTTTATCTATGTATGCACACACATACACAAAAGATCTGTACTTCTCGAGAATATAGAAATAAATCCTGTGAGAGTTTTTGGCTATTCACAGCCACAGCTACAAACTCTGCGTTGTAGATGTGGCATCATACAGAACACACGTGTATGCGCTGAATATAGTTCATACCAACACCTGCATGGATGTATGCAGCCATCATTAGACATACACATTTAATTTACAAATACAGAAGTTAAATGTGTTTTATACACACATGCCTCATATGTATAGACATTTTTTATGATTGCAACATTATAAAATATTTAATTATGTATGGTGAATGTACACGTGCATGCTTTTTCTATAGGTATAAAGCATATCGTTTATATTATAAATTTAAGAGAAATATATCGGCTATAAACATACATATACCCACATGCATATGTGCATGCATAACTATAGATATTTAATTTAAAGTCTTCATAAATACATATTTTACACACATACTGTCCTGCACTCGCACTTATTTGGAAGCCCGGGCGCGTCAGAGCAAGGCGGGCACAGGCGGGGCTGTGTGTTTACAGCTAGCTACGAGGATTGTTTGTGTGCGTGTCTACGACCAATATAAATAATATTATAAACTATATGCCATACAATTATCTCATTATAAAATTACATAAACAAAAGGCTGCTTGTGTGTGTGTACATATTGTAATATATATTTTACACACACACATTCTGTATACACCGCTGTAGTTCCCAACTGTGTATTTTCTATCCGTGCATCCCCGATCACTTCATCAAAGCAATCCACTCCCGCCCCAGACACTGCAGCACCCGACTACAGCTGCGCTGCAGCACTAAGGTCTGGGTGTCCCGGGGCCAAATACGGCGGGGAGGGGGAGGAAATTACAAAGACGGTAAGATTTGTGGCCAGCAGGTCAAGGGAGGTGATTCTGCCCCTCTGCTCCACTCTGCTGAGACCCCACCTGGAGTACTGCCTCCAGCTCTGGAGTCCCCAACATAAGGAGGACATGGACCTGGACCTGCTGGAGCGTGTCCAGAGGAGAGCCACGAGGATGATCCGAGGGCTGGAGCCCCTCTGCTGTGAGGAGAGGCTGAGAGAGTTGGGGGGGTTCAGCCTGGAGAAGAGAAGGCTCCAGGGAGACCTTATAGTGGCCTTCCAGTATCTGAAGGGGCTCCAGGAGAGCTGGGGAGGGACTTTTGACAAGGGCATGGAGTGATAGGACGAGGGGGAATGGCTTCAAACTGGAAGAGGGCAGGTTTAGATTAAACATTAGGAAGAAGTTTTTCACTTTGAGGGTTGTAAGGCACTGGAAGAGGCTGCCCAGAGAGGGTGTTGAGGCCCCATCCCAGGAGGTGTTCAAGGCCAGGCTGGACGTGACCTTGGGCAACCTGGGCTGGTGGGAGGTGTCCCTGCCTGGGGCAGGGGGGTTGGAACTCGATGATCTTCAAGGTCCTTTCCAACCTAAACCATTTTATGATTCTATGATCTCCGCTCGCAAAACTCTTAGAAAGCAGCAGTATCACACTTTCCTGGTATAAAGTGTTTATTTGAGACTTCACAATTAACACAAAGTCTTCCTTTCAATGCTTTTTTCATACAGTCAATAAATTTGTATTAATCCCTCCCTCCCCCATGCATGATTGCTGTTTATTAATCTAAGCCTTTTTATTTTCACCGTGAAAAAATAAAGCGTTTCCCCACCCTTTCATCTGTTCGCTGTACCACCGACATCCACTGTGCTGCATTAAAGAGGAGGAGATGTAGAATGGCTATGCCTACCACTGGGGTTGAAGTTACTCCATTATTTATCGATTTATTCTTTTTTACAGAAAGTGTTAAATGAATCAATCACCCAAGAAAAATAAATATATCGTAAAGAACCAAAAGTTCTGCAGTATCCCTTTCCTTTACATACAGCTGCAGTTCAAACACATACGTTGCTCGCGGCAAATCATGTCATTCACTGCAACGCCGTCGCCTTTACGTATGGTTGTGAACTTACACTGCGTAGGAATCTGTTCCAAAGGAGTTGAGCCATGAGCCAAATTTTTATACCTAGGCAAGAGAGATCCACGCGGAAGCCAATTGCCTACGTTCCACTGATCGGCTTTTACCCAAGAGCAATTCAATCTTGTGCTTTTCAGGAAATGTCGGCTAACCACAGGCGCGGGCTCGGCCAGAGCCGGCCCGTACGCCGAGCGAAAGGCAGTGTGAACGGCGCGCGTGCTGCTCAGGGCAGTGGAAGCCGGGTCTCGGTATCAATGTCCCCTGGACGTGCATCTCAAATCGTGCTGCTCGGCTCGGCTCGCAGTACTTTTGGCACCAGCCTCGCAACTACATTAGTCAATTGATCGCCCTGCCTCTCGAGATCTTCCCTGGAGGTGGCAGAGGTCAACGAGGCTTGCTCGTAACAAAGATGGTATTGGGTAGGTCGTGAAGTACAAGACCCATATTTATGCTTTACTGAATTACTGTGCAAAAGGGAATACTGCATCAGAAACCGTAGAAGACTATATTTTAATCAAAGTCAACAGCCGCTGTATCGGAAACCTGCTAACAATTGCTCCGATTGGTTCGTTTGGCTACTTTTTGTTGGTTTCTTTCTTTTTTTACATAAATAATATAGACCGAACATTATAAACACTTCAGCAACCATTTCTAAAAGATCGGAGGAGCCCTTTTAGGCGCCAAGAAACAACTGCAGGATTCAAATTCCAAAACTGTCTTTGGAGTCATCGAATCATCAGATTTACACGGCACCCAACGACACCACCACTCAGTCGAGCTCGATAGGACTGCTGTCTTCCTGACCATCCTCTGTGTCGTCATCTTCTCCAGTTCCCATCAGGCTGTTTAAAAGATTTCCTACAATAAAATACAGGGAAAAAAAAATTTGCTAGTTTGACATTCTCATCTCAAAAACTTTTGACTATTCTCCTACCGCCCTGCTAGGGTGCAGACTTCAACAATGAAAAAAACCTTTTTCCTATTTTATTTTAAGTAAAAGAGTCTCAGCAGGACGTGAGTATTCCCTCACCGGCTTCCATTAAGCATTTATTGACTCGGGAAGCTGTATTTCGATACTGTTCCTTCTGTAAGAGTACACTTAAGTGTGCTATTTCAGTGGGGTTTTTTATGTACTGTAGTTGCAGCATATGAAGAAAGGAAAAAAAACCAACCGAGGAAAGACGCACCGCCAGCCACGCAACTGTGAAAACACAGCAACGGTCTGCAGTGCGCTGCAGAGAATTCGTTCGAGGTATTTATGCATTCTCCCTGTTTTAGTCAGTTTAAAGACGCCTGCATTACTGAAAAGCTGTTATTAACGTACGGGATGTATGATGCACCCGTTCTTCACAAACTTTGGGTATCAGTGAATTGACATCTGCAGGTAACGCTTCAAGTCAGTTTACAACCAGAGCAGCTTAGTTCTCAAGGAAAAACAGTCGATTTTACAAAAGTAATCCAGTTCCATTTGCTCAATTTTTATTTTATTCAAGAGCAAGGAAACGAGGGCTGAATTTCTCTATTCCCTTTCACTTCTTGTAGAAGGGCAGTACTAATTTCAGAACAAAAAAACCCAAGATTGTTCTTTACAGGTGAAGTTATACCACAATGTCAAAAATTAACCATAAAAGTCGTTTACATGCTTCTCCCCTTCTCAAAGATGGCAAGCGTACTACCTTCACCAAACTGATTTCACATACAACCAATTCCTCTTGCATTCTACAGTAGGGACTGTTTCTACAGGCTACAGACAACCCAATATATTCGTTAGAACAAATTATCTGTTTACAGCACAGCCATTTTATATAGGCCACTGCCCTGGAAAGACTGGTGATGTCTATAAACAATTGTCAGCATACACCTTACCTAGTAACCCTCCGTAGGACGATGTCTGCTTGGGCGGAACACCAAAGAAAAGCTGTCCTATTCTATCTAGGTACTGCAACGACACAACATGAAGAACAGTGTCAGCTACTTCATTTACAGGTGGCAATTCTACGGGCAGCAGGCACAGCACACAAGGCAGTTCCCCGACTCCTACGTACGGGTCACAAACCAGGGACAATCAGCTGTTATTTAACTAATTCTGTAGGTGAAATCCCATTTACAGCTACGAGTAACTCACCTCATTATACATGGGATCTCTCTTCAGTGAAGGTTGATACTGTTCACACAATACTGTAAATACTGTTAGTTTTCCTCTAGAAAGGAAACAACCAAAAATGTAATCTCAGTAACAACTGAAAAGGAAACCAAGAACAACATGAGAAAAATCAGACTGTACCCATCAACTGCCAACAACAGAAACCAGATGAAGTTTAGCAGTGGTTGAACAAAGGGTGGACCCTTTTCTATTGAAGGATGTTTCTGTGTGTATGTCGTGAAAACAACTGATGCGCTGGTCTTATTTTTTAAGCAGAGAAATCTGCAAAAGGAAACAGAACAGGGCAAGTTAAAAATAAAAGGCAGAGCAGCAGTTTTACACGCAGACAGAAAAAGGAAAACCAAATGCTCAACTACCTCTACTTCATTTGTGCGTAGAAACCATCTCAGGTTTAAACTGATGGCAAAACCTAACTGGTAGAGATGTACATCTTTGGCAATGGTTTGGCTATTAAACGAGGAAGGGGAAAATCCCTACTGAACTTCACTGTGGAATAAGCAGGATGGGAGGGAGAACTGACATTAAATATTACCAGAATGAGTTTAACCAAGGTTAATGCAGATTGTATACAGGACAGTTACTAAATGAGGGCATCAATTCAAACAAAATGTGGAAAGACCGGCCCCCGCGTAATTCAAATTAAACATGACATTGCATTTACTGGTCCCGAGTTTACTATGATGAGGTGGAAACCTAATTAAAGACCCTTTTCCTGGCCCCATCCACTCCACACTGCCTTTCAGCATGTATCTGCCAGTGTCCGACGACTCTGTTATTCTAACAGCACTCCCTCAAAATAACACGGCATCAGGATCACTAATAACTTTGACACGCACGTCTAAAAGTCTCACCATAAAGCTACGCTTTGAGCTCCCAAGCCGTTTGTCACCAGTTAACAGATCGATTTCCCAATCTTTGTTCAGGCCCAGTTAATTTAACTGGCAATCTCTGCCAGTCCCACAGGCCTCACAAGAGACTATCTGGGACAAAAGCTGTCAGCGAGCCCCGGGAAGGCTGCCACGAGCAGTCTTGTTTTCGGTCGCAGGCTGGCCTCCAATTCCGCACCCTCACGTGTGCGAGGGCCTCGGGCTCTGCGCCTTGCTGCTGAGCAAAGGAACGGCAATGATTTTCATTAGAGTATAAACTGCTATGTAAGAGGATTTCGTACAGTATTTGAGATAGAGGCCAGTAAAGGCTGCAGCAGCAGTGCTGTGTAAATACTGGGAAAATAATCTCTTACTGACAACTCCTCCCCCGAATTCCCCCCCCCTCCAGAACAAAGCCCCATAAAATTGTTCAAAGAATCCTGCATATACTGGATTTCCATAACAGATTTTCTACTGCTCAAAACCACTGCAATCTATATCAACCGGCTATGGAAAGCAGGACAAATCTGACATGACAGCTCACTGCTGCCAAAAGACAGACAGACTTGCTCTCACCTCCTCCCTCTCCCCCAACACCTACTCCCTGCCTGACTCCCTGCTGCACAGTCCTGTCTCCACCTCCTCCTCAGACTCCTCCATGAGCTGCTTTCCCTGACTGAAGAAAGCCATCAGCTGATTAAACACAGTAAAATTGGCTTTGTCAACCTTAATTGTACGTGAGCTCTGCAAAGGCACATCATGGCTTGCATTCCCACCTCCTACAAAAGAAATGCCTGAAGTAACTGAAAGCCCCCAGCAGCTCTGTCAAACCAAGAACCACGGCACTGCTGCTCACAGACCGGGGTGACCCAAGACAAGTTGTCTCTTAGGACAACGAGACTGAGAGCGAGTACTGCGCTAACGGTAAACACAGAGCCTACTTAGCTCCAGTCTGGCTAAGGCCATCAAGGTAAGCCCTAACTAGACATAAAGTGGTGTTAACAAAGCTAAGAATTGTGCTTTCAGGGTCAAACAGATTACATTAATTCTTCAGGCAATTAACATACTTTCAGGTTTCGACCTCAATACTTCTCTTTTTTTTTTTTTCCTTCCCAATCCGACCAATTCTACACACCAGTTTTGAGATGGTTTTCTCCCTTGGTTACCACACAAAGTGAGTTGCAGGAGCTCTGGCCAGTTTCATTTGAAAAAGACGCATGGTTAACCTATAGCTATCATGATTAAATTAGACTGGCTTCAAACACAGTGTCATCTCAGCAGCATAGTTAAAAAAAAAAAGAAAAGTTCAACACCTACTGTAGTACTGCCTGTGCTACAAACATGTCCACCTCACTGCGATATCCCCTGGACGAGGAGTATTCTACTAGCATATTTGCACATCCTTCGCCATCTGTGGAGTGCAAGAAGTGATACCGAGATTCACTATAGTTTTGCTCTATAAAAGGAAAAAGAAAACGGCTTTTGAGAAAACAGTTCATCATACCTGAATGTAAAAACAAATTTGTTAGGCTTGTACACTACAGCTGGTAAAAAGACAAGAGCTACACAGAAGGTATATAAACAAAACAACGAGGTAGAAGAGTGGGCTATTTCCTTTATAAGTTACAGACAATTTATAAAGGGAGATAACAAAGACGTTATCCTAAATACATTTGATTTAAATACAGCTTATTCAACGCTACCACAAAACGCAGCTACCACTGGGACAAACAGCTTGAGCTGCGGTCCTGTCATTTCATCTAAGTGCGTGGCGACACTTCATGCGCTGTCACCAGTGCTTCGGAGAAGAATCAAGAAGTTCCACATCAGACCATGTGCACTAAGAAGTCAAGCAGCACCTTCAGCGTCCTTCTTTCTAAGCGCACAGAAAGAAGGCATTTCCTATTTTTAGCTTAGCCCACTCTCGCTATCCAAATTAAACCTGCTTCCATATGCTGAATAGAACAGCGACTGTACAGGAAAGAAAGGCGTGAGAAGTGGCAGCGATTCGTTAGAACTTAACTGGAAGCAAAGCATCATGCAAAATCACTGCAGTGATAAATCAAAACTGGATAGCTGCTAATTTTTGGAATTTAAAAGCTTGGTTTTAAAAAACTGAGCCTTTTCTGATGAAATTGTTGAAAACTACAGCTTAAGAAAACGTACACGTTCTGCTCTTCGAAAGAACAGTGAGCAGACAGCTACAAAATGGGGATTTTTACTTTCAGAATGCAACCGTTTCTTCTCCTAACCGTATCTCAGCTTCTAATTTCAATGCTCTGAGGAAAATCCTCCCTTTCTGGCTGGCAGCAGCCACCAATAAGTCCCAGGAGAACAGCTATGGCATTGCCTATGACAGGCAGAAAGGCAACGAGCTGGAATGTTGACCATTGGGTCAGCATTGTTATATGAAACCACCATCATCACTTTGCAGCTACTGAAAAGTTTTAAATAAGCAAACAATCATCTTGCATGGTTATTAAGTTACAAGAAACCACAGAAGTGATGGCATTTATTCAGCTGTTCTCACCTACCTTTGTTATATTTTGAATACTAGACTTTAAAAACTGGCTATTGTCCACAGTCAAAATAATTATTTAGTGCATTTTTGGGTTCTTTTACATCCCATCACAAGTGATAAAATCGCACACAAATCAAAGGCAATGGCATTCACTCCGGAATAAGCCTGCTGGTCAACATCTCAAAAAGTACCTCATTACAGATCCAATGACTGTTTTGGATGTTAGGTGATGTATTTCAATCTTTGTCAGGTTTATCCAGGATTTAAAAACAACAACAAAAAAAAACCGCAGCAGCTTTGCTTCCCAGCAATTTTCCTCCTCGTGACTCAAACTACATCAACATCTACAGGATCACCCTTCCTTTTACAGAGAGCTTTACAGCAGCTGTGGTTTGGGTTTTGCACTAATACAGAGTCACAGCCCCAGGTTTCTTCTGTTAGTAACATTAAGCTGAAGTTATTGCAAAAATCAGGTAATAGCAGAACTCAATCATTTCCATCTCAGCTTCCTTAGATTATTTCCAAAGTAGATCTCTTACAATATCATTCTTTCAACATTTTCAAAACAAAACAAAGAAAACCTAGCTGATTTTTCTTACCTTTCCACAGGGTAATTGCTAGTAACTGGTGTAGTTTTGGATGTCCAAGTTTTCCTGATCCCCCGCTGGACCACTTTAGTGCTCTGGATACGAAAGCCACTCTTTCGGGAGAATTTGGATCCATTAAACTAAACAATTTAGCCAAGTTTTCTAGAAGCAATAAGATTCACAAATATTGAGCATTAATAGCAACAGGATGAACTGCTGCTTCTAGTGCATCTTTAAGCTACAACATTTAAGTTACAGTGCTGTTGTGTCTTTAAGCTCCCGTAACAGCCTCCATCAGCCGCCTTCAAAAGGAGTGACTTTGAATTTCAGCCACTTCTCATACATCAAGTCAATCTTGCATCTATCAGCCAGCCATGCTCCTATGACCCCTCCACAGCCAAAAGCTGTGCCTTGCAGTCAGCGGGGGACAGTCGCACCGTTTGGGACAGGACATCCCAGAGCACCGTGCAGTTCCACGGAGGGGAGGGAAGACTGCAGGTTATGGGACTGCTTGCCATCCATACAGCAGCTCTGAGGGACAGAGGGCTGCAGTTCGGGAAAGCACCACCAGAAGTCATAGATGGGACAGAAAACGTCAGAGCTCATCTAAGTAAACAAAGAACGGCCTCTGTCTGTCTGTCTGTCTGTCTCCATCCATAGGTTGTTGACTGCAGCAGTAGTCTGGCCAGGCAGATCTTAAGAAGGTTTCCCCAGATTGCCTGTTTACCAAATCTCATGGTCAAACAAGAAAAAATTACCTTGTGAACAGCTGAATCATAAATCACGTGCACACTACCACACTGCCGGGGGGGAAACCGCCATCCACCAAAGCCCTGGGGATGCAGGGCTGTGCAGACAACGCACTACTGCTGCGTTGAGGAAAGGACAATGCCGCAAGACAGCGATGTTTGCTCTAAGCATGCCCACAAAGTTCTCGGGAACCCATTATTCTCTACTAAAGTTCTCCCCCAGTCTGTTTCTATGACAAAGGTAACCCTTAGCCACGTGGGAGGGCATACAGCAAGGATTTCAGGTTTCAAGACCGTTAACAACAGTCACTGTGAAGTGAAAGCACATCTGAACACCATCAAACCGAGCGCAAAGGTCACCTCACCTAAAAGGTCATCTGCTACTTTTGCATCCGATTTCTCCAAAGACTCCAAAACCAGCATGGACAGATCAGCAGCACTGTTTTGCTACAAAACAGACACATACTGGTAGTGATGTACATATCAGTACATAAAAGAAAACATCAACCAGAAGTTTGTCAGAGGCAGATTTAATACTTGTATCAACATCTAGAGCACAGTATCAAGCCTCAGCCTTCCCTTATAAAAAATTATAGTTAATTTGATGGCACGACAAGAAAAGCCTCCAGGAAAGCAAACCAAATATGGTTACACTTATTGTTTGGATGCTCACAAACACTTCTGCTTCATGTTCCAGCTTGGTATAATCCTTCTTTGTGGAGAAAGACTCAACAAAGAGATAAAACAGAAGATGACAAAGCAATTACCCCAAACATTTACCATTAAGAATACACCATTCACCCCTCAAAATCTTGGAATAACACCCCCCTGCCCAAACCGAGTGACTTACCTGGTTATGACTGAAGAACAGCAAAGCCCCTGAATACATTAACTCTCTTGCTTCTGCGTGTTTTCCTTGTGACATGTACCTGAAAAACAACACCAAAGCCGTGACAAAAATTATCTCTAAATAAGTTGCGTACGCTTAAATTTACTTACATTTAAAGGATTAAAGATCACTAAGATTTAAAATAAAGGCAATAAGGGATTTCTTTTTAAATCAGGTTAGTTTCAATAATGAAGTAACTTTCACTGCAAGCTACAATTTGTTTTCTGCTCCAGACTCGACGGTATACAAGCATATACAAGTATAAGAATGAAAACCCAGAGCTTCAAACCTGATTTGGGCTGAAACAAAGAAAAGTACATGATCCCAGGAGTTCACCTGAGCCAAAGATGCCAATGCACTGAACCACGCCACTCATTTGAGCCTTTACCAAAACCAAAGGCATCCCAGTGAAACAGGTTTCGGCATACACCCTGGAGAGCTCACATAGCCGGCACTGCCCAGCGGACTCCAGCCCTCTCCTCACCAATTGCTCCTTTCCACTGGTTTAAGACTCTCTGACCAGTACGACTCTCTGCCAGGGGACATCAGCCACACACCGGTCCTCTGCCGAGCCGGAGTAGCTTGTCTGATGGGTTGCAGTAAGACAAGAACAGCCAGCAAGATCTACCGTGCAACACTTTACAGAGTCACCAATTCACAAAAGAAAAACATCTGGTCTCTCAAATATAATGCTTCAAAACACACCTGCTGCAGCTTCACCTTCCTCACTTGAGAGTTAACTAAGAAATGAAGAATAAAAGAATTTGTTCTCAATGGTTCCCCCAAGAGCAGGAGCCTCGTACCACGGTAACTGAAGGTCTCAGATAGTTACACCTCTAGATTCTGAACGCAGCACTTCCAATAAAAGTAGTTAATAACAGCCGCCAATTTGCTCATATCAAAAAGATAAGATGTCGGTTCTCCCGCATTGCTTCAGTATCTGCAATATTTGGTTTGTCCTCTATAACACCTGGTCGTGCCGTGGCCCTGTTTCCCCCCGCTCTGCCAGTGCAGCAGCAAAGTCCCCCCGCAGAGCAGACCCGACGTGCGAGCGTCCCCGTGGGGCGACAGCAAGGGGTCGGTGGTTCTGGGAGTGAAGCAGTCAGGGGAGCGGTGGGACAGCGTGGGTGTGGGGGGGTCACACTAACCCGAAGGAAAATGAGCAACGGTGGATCCCAAAAGCTCTTGTGCTGAAGGTGAGACTCCCATCACACGTGGCAGTCCCAGGGACAGGTCCTACTGGTAAAATCACATCAGACAACAAACAAGGGAGGAGATAGTCCTCCCACCCTGCTCACCGTCTTTCAGAAACCCCAAGGTCTTTCGTCCAAAACAGTCAGCAGAACTGTAATAATGAACTGAATGGGGCCGGGGAGGGGGCGGGGTTGGAAAAAGTAACCTCCACAACTGACACTTGCAATCACCATAGTAAATGCTCCGCACATTAGTCAAACGGATGGGCAGCTCCATCACTTTTACAGCTGGCCTCACATCCAGGTTTGCTTCTCAGGCGTTTGACTCCAAATCTCAGTGTGGACACACTTCCACGGATTCCACTTCCAGTAGATTCCCAATGCTACTTGGGAGCTCCTAATCTGGGAATATTACAGCAGATACTAAAAGATGCTGAAAACAGCTTTACAACATAAAATACACTTAAAAGAGTTGCGGGCTTTTCTTATTTAAAAAAGCACTTGTATTAAAAAAGGTTTTTTAATACTAAATATTCATGACATTGATCTAAATGGTATTTAGACTGAGAGAAATCCTGGAACAGATTATTCATACCAGAAGCAGTACCTACAAGCATCAGGAAAACAGATGCCAATGTAACTAAACCAGGGATGTTACACTTGGAAGTTTGACTCCATTGCCAAATCATAAACAGAGCAGAGCTCAACCCGGCCAGCCCGTACAGTACCCCCACCGGCACAGGCGCTCCTGTCCGCAGGAGTACCAGACTCGCTGCCGGGGGTCAGGCAGGAACAGCAGTTTTCCCCCTGCTCCGTGGATCACAGGGAGGGATAAGAACTCTGCAGGAGGCAGGCTTATGGTAATCTTTCCTCCTCCACTTCCCTTCCTCCACCCTCACATACATCTCAGTTTATGACTTCTGAAGCTCTGAGTCAGGATTTCAAGTTTAACACACAACTCATGACAGAACAGACTAATGTTTTACAGGCTGCCGTCATTTAAAACACACAAGCACTGGCTATCCCAATTACAACTCCGCAGCTGAGATCATCTCACTCCGTGTAAATGTGTCTCTGGAAAACTGCTGACATTTAACATACGTTTTATAGAGGACAAACAAGACTATCCAGGACTCTTTTTTGGCCTTGATGACTTTCCAAACAAATTTCACAGTCTCATTACATCTTTTCGCCTAGAAGGAAACCCTCTTCCTAGTTATGCAAGTGTCACCTTTTCGTTTAATTGAGCACCTCCTTTCTCTTGCATCTAAAATGGAAAAGGCAGGATCTTTGATTCCAAATTAATTCAGGGAGGCTTAAGCAAAGTATGTGAGTTAATACATTCAGAAGACGGGATGAGAAGTGACCTGCTGAGCCAAGTCATCTCCCGCCACTGCAGCCATCACATCACATAATCCTTACTATAAAATAGGCCATGCTTTGTCTTAAATTCAGATTTATTCTCAAATACAATTTAAGTCTTGAGGCCTAGATGGTGTCCTTGCTGATCCCATCAGAAGGCTACGGCAGAATACAAATGCTTTATTTAACGGTACTTGGCACACAGGGTAGGGCAGGCTACCTCACATACACTGTGGGAGCAGCAGTATGGCTATGCACCAAGGACCCTCTTCCCCACGTGCCTGGACTCTGTTTTTCTGTGGATACCCACAGGCCCGCTCCCGTCCCACCTCCGAGGAGAGCTGACATACAGGTGACGTACCCAGACTCAGAAGGCAGTTTCCCCACCTGCCCTGCCCCACCAGAACCACAAGTAAACAAAGCTGGGACCAACCAAGGAAACCCCTGGAAGAAATACCTTATTCTGTGCCCCTGAAGGCCAGGGGCTACACAGAACTGTGCAGGTTGGAAGAGACATTTAAGATCATCGAGTCCAACCCACCACTAACACATGTCCCTCAGCACCACGTCTGCCTGTCTGTTAAATACCTGCAGGGACAGTACATTTTAAATTTTGGTGAGAGAAAGGGTGACCACCGCAAGCTGCAGTGGATGTGAAAAATAAAATAAAAATCTAAAAAAGTTTTGCAATAAAAATAAACTTTCTTATGACATAACAGGCAGTAGTAATATTTCTGAATAAATGCCCAGGCCTGCTCTACTTAGTCATTGTCACTTACACAAATATTACATCGACTAGAATCTATTCTCACAAAATTCCTCCGCGCAGCCGATTCTTGTTGTTCTGAGAGCTGCCCCTTCCCCGAAGCGGTACCAGAGGGTGACTACCGCACAACAGCGCAGCCCCGTTTCCCGGCTGAGCGCCAACCCAAAACCTTAAAACCCTGAACACCCCCCGCCCCCCCC